CATGAACATCTGCTCTATGTCGGCTACCATGGCTTTCTCATATCACCTAAATCTCTGTATGACACCAAAGAGACTCAGGCCCGTAGCCAGCAATTTCAGAGGGGGGGTTCGTTTTCTGAAGAAAGTGGACATTTTACCATAAAATCCTCAAGTACATAGATCAAATTTTACCCAGAGTGGACCTTTTCCAAGCAAAAAGGGTGGTTCTTTCCAACCCCCCGAACCCCCCCTGGCTACGGGCCTGAGACTGTTCAGTAGGTCTGGGCCTGTCATCAGGACTTTATTCAAAGACACGCTTTTATAGGTTGCAGCTGCATCGTATACAAGTCTAAGCTTGCCTTTCTGCTTATTGGTAACAGCATGGTGGGGTAAATACCATGTTCTCTGGCTGCACAAACCTGCTTCTTCGGGGGTAAGCTTGCGTGCATATCCTCTGCTTATGTTGTCTTTCATTATTCCTCGATACTTCTCTTCAAAATTCCTGTCTTTCTCGAAGCGTTTATTGAGGAGTCGGTAGCGGTCTTTGGCTATTTCCAGGTTGTTTGATAGAGTAGATTCTTCTGATTTCCACAGCATGCCAACTTCATAGTTTCCACTCACTAATTTCGTGGATTTGTCTAACATCGCTTCAGCTTTTCTGTCTTCTGTCAAGACCGGGTTGGAATATTGATAAGATACTCCAAATGACTCTGTAGACCAAAATTGTTCTAATGACTGATCACTGACAGAGAGGAGATTCACAGACCAAGCCAAGATCGAATGCGAGTGACTCTTTTATAATCATCATCTGACTTGCTGAGTCTAGTAAGGCTACTGTTTCAATCGTCCTCCCATTGCTCATTACATGTACGGGTAGTGGCTGGAAAAAGGCCTTATGATCTGAGTCTCCGGTCCCAGTGGAGAGCACAGCATTTCCAACTGGCACTGATTCTCTTAATTGGTGTAATAAGGTGTGATGTTTTTTCGCACACTGTCTGAAGCGACCTGGGTTGTGGCATTCTTGGGCATGATGAGACTTTTTTAAACAATTAAAGCATAGTCTTCTAGCTTTAGCAAACTCTCGTCTTTCTTCAGTGGACTGTGTGCACTTTGAGATGGTATGGTTCTCCTGGCATAAACAACAACTTTCAGGCACAGTGGTGAATGAGGGCGCTTGATTCGCAGGGCTGTGCCTTGGCTGGTAAGCTGGGCCACTATTTTAGTAGTTATGCTGTTTTTTCATTTTTCAGCATATATGCAGCACTGTAAACACAATATAAGAAAAACAGATAGGCCAATTGTCATTAAACTCACAGGAGTGATGACCATTTAAGAAAAACCATGTCACTTACTGTTCTCAAACAGTACAGTAAATAAGTACATATGTGTCTGTACATATTGCCATCACTTGCGTCTGTTGTCGCCATCGTCGCCGTCAATGTCGCTGGCGCCGTGCTCTTTCATTGTAAACACGATAAGTGGAAGGCAGTTTACCTTTTTGGCTGAATATTTACAGAGCTGATGAATATTCATAAAATGCAGGTCAAGTCGAAAATCAGCATGATCGGGCCATTATTGTAGAAGTTATGCTCTTTTTATGTACAGACACAGATGTGTCTGTACATATAGCCGTCACCTGCGTCTGTCGTCGCCGTTGCCGTAGCCGTGCACTTTTACCGTAAACACGATAAGTGGAAAACAGTTTTACATTTTGGCTTGAAACTTACAGAACTGATGAATATTCATAATGTTCAGGTCAAGTTCGAAAATCAGCATGATCGGGCCATTTTTAGGGAAGTTATGCTGTTTTTTCACTTTTTTCAGCATATATATATATACAACACCGTAAACATGATAAGTGGAAAACGGTTTTACCTTTTGGTTTGAAACTTACAGAACTGATGAATATTTATAATATGCAGGTTGAGTTCGAAAATCAGCTTGATCGGGTCGTTTTTATGGAAGTTATGCTATTTTTTCACTTTTTTCAGCATATATGCAACCCTGATAACACGATAAATGAAAAACTGCTTTACTTTTTGGCTTGAAACTTATAGAACTGATGAATATTCATAATATGCAGGTCAAGTTCAAAAATCAGCTTGATCGAGGCACTTTTATGGAAGTTATGCTGTTTTTTCATTTATTTCAGCATATATGCAACACTGATAACACAATATAACAAAAACAGATAGGCCAATTGTGATTGTACTCACAGGAGTGGTCAATCTTACTAAAACACAGGTTGAGTTTGAAAATCAGCATAATCAGGCCATTATTTTAGAAGTTATGCTGTTTTTTCACATTTCCTCAGATTCAACTCTTGGGCATGTTAACAGTCTCATTATTGAACTAATAAGATATGTAAAAGTGTTTGTTTGACATTTCCTGCATCTTTACAACATTGTTAGTTGATTATGTAAAAATGATGGTAAACTTAATATTGTGTATTGTGTAATGAAGTGTCAAAAATGGAAATAAACACATATCATTGCAGTTTGTCAGATTCAATCATCCACTATGTTCAGAATCTCAGAATGGAGGAAATTGGACATTTAACACTGTTCTATTGATATTTTTCCCATCTCATCAATTTTCTTAGTTGGTCATATAAAATAGCAGTAAACTGTTAATTTTGTTTTATGTTAAAAAAGTGTTAAAAGGGAAATAAACCCATTTCAGAAAAGTGCTGTCTTGTTTACATTTTGGCATTTTCAAGATGTGACTTTGAAGTTCCATGGTCCTTAAGACCTTTGCTAGTCACATTTTCTGAATATCCATGATACTAATATTTTATTATTAAAAATTGATGGTCATTATGCTGTTAA